ATCCCCAATCAATCTAAGTAAGAAAATCTTTTCCTTGACATATGGGATAACATCCAGGGCAGCTTTTGGTAGTAAATGCAAAGATCAGGATGCATGCATATCGATAGTAAAGGCAATTGTCGAGTTGTCAACTGGTTTCAGCTTAGCAGATATGTATCCATCTCTCAAAGTGCTTCAACTCTTTAGTGGAATGAAGCACAAACTTGAGAGCCTGCTTCAGGATAGTGATAGGATCCTTGGTGGCATTCTTGATGATCACCGAGAGAGCATAAAGGTAGAAAAAGGACAAGCAGGTGGGGACCTGGTTACTTCTCTGTTAAAGCTTCAGGAGAATGGAGACCTTGAGTTTCCCCTCACTGACACTGACATCAAAGCAATTATCTGGGTTAGTAGGTTTCTTTCTCATGTATCTCATTCATATTTAGGGCTTGGTTGGTTTGAAACCAACTTTATTAAGAAAATTTTTATTAAGAAAGTAGTTAAGAAAGAATTATATAAAAAATTAATAAATTTTGTAATGAAATTTTATTAGATTGTTATTTTTTTGTGTGTATGATAAAAAAATTAGTATTGAAAAAATTAGAAGGAAAGTTTTTAAATGAAAAAGTTAAAGGAAAACTTTTTTCCTTCAAAAAAAGTGCCTGGATTGATAATTTTGTTAGAAAAAATAAAGATTAAAAATGTCATCTTTATTTTTATTTTATTATAATATTAATGTGTGAAAATATGTAAATAATTTTGTAAAGAAAAAATTTTAGAGAACTTCAGGGGAGAAAGTTTCCTCCAACCAAACACCACATTAGTAAGAAATTGAAGATGAATTGTACTAGCAGAAATTGTAAAGAAGATCTGTAAGTAAAAACAATGTAATAGTAATTGGCAAAACCATATGTTTCTTTGACTAACTTCCGGTATTTTATGATTTAGGATATCTTGAGCGGTGGAAGTGAGACATCATCAACAATTGTGGACTGGGCAATGGCAGAAATGGTAAAAAATCCAAGGGTGCTGGAAAAGGCACAGAAGGAGGTAAGAAGAGTCTTTGACAGACAAAGATATGTGGATGAAGCAGGCATTCATGAATTAAGATACTTAACAGCTGTAATCAAAGAAACACTCAGGCTGCATCCTTCTTTCCCTCTATTGTTACCAAGAGAAAGTAGGGAA